TGATAGTGGGTCCCCCTGTTCTCCCAGGAACTTTGAGAGGACTGAGCAGACAGACACATTGAGTTCCTCCTGGCTCTGACTCTAGAAGACTTCGTTCAGGTGCCAGTCTAGGGAAATTATATCTTGGCAGCTGGCAAATCTCTGACCCATACTATCAGATTGCTGTGCCTCCCTTTATTCTCAAGATTGTTCCCACCTAAAATACCTCAGCAGCTGGATCCTAACACCCCTTCACCACCATCGCCAGTAAATAGATGAAATAAGTTCACAACCCACAGTTAAGTTCCAGCACCCACAATGGCTTCTAACGAAATGGAGTTATTGACAAAGCCCTCTCCTAGATCAGTGGAAACCTCTCATCTTATGCAATAAATAGTTAAAGACCATGGAAAGGAGGGCTGGGGAAGCCCGAAAATATCTCATTTCAGGAAGCTGTCTAAAATTGCAGTTAATAATTATTATAGGCCATTCTTTCTGATTTAAACAAGAACAAAAAAATAACAAAAACTTCCTGAAACTGATTATCTAAGTAGATCTTTAAAATTAGCTAACTAAGGGCTGGCCGAGTGGCTCAGTTGGTTAAGAGCTCGCTCAAGAGTGTGAGCTCTGAGCAACAGCAGTTTGGTGCCTGTCCGGAGCTGAGCTGCTGCTGAGCTGCCAAAAGGTGGCAGGATGGCTCAGCTTAAAATAAATAAATAAATAAATAAATAAATAAAATAATATAAAATTAGCTAACTAATAGAAAAAGTATTATTTGACGTTATAAATGTTTTTTGGAAGAGGTAAGGTATAAATGTTATTTACATGTTGCCACAGCTGGGTTAGACTTTGATCTTGAACAAAAAGAGAGCCCTGCTCCTCAACAGGCAAAATCATAAAAATAATTAAGGAGATTCAAGCATAACACACATGCACACACAGAGAGAAAAAATAAAACTTTGCTGGGCCTATAAAAATGGACCATAATTTGCAAATGACAAATCAATAAACGAATAAGAGAAACAGAATCTCTGTGAAAACAAATGAAATAAAGATAAGAAAGATAATAGATTTGGATAACAGACCCACTCAACTTTCTATGTGATTAACAGGGGTGCTAAAAGAAGAAAAATGAAGAGATGAAAAAGAGGAAATTGTTAAACAGTAGAGGAAAGTTTATCTGAGCAGAAGCAGACTCTAATCTTCAGATTAAAATGCTACACTGAATTCTAAGCAAGATCAATTTAAAAAAAAGGATATATACTGTGGTGAAAAAAGACCACTAATTCAGAATTTAAAATATAAGACTTTTCTGTTTATAAGAACTGCACTGCAGGAAGGCAGGAGAGAGTGATTATGAATCAGAGGTTGATGACCGTCACAACCCAGTTCCTTAGCATGTCAAAATCACAGGATTTTAAAAATACCTGAGCATACTCAAGACCCTCCAGATTTTGCCTTATGGTAGGCATAGACTCAGGGAGTCTCAGGATATCCTGGTAGTAAAGATGATTCTTTATGATGCTCAGCGAGGGAGGGCACAGTGGGCTTTAAGTTTAAAAGTGAGCACACTTCAAAAAGCCCATATGAAAAGGAAACTGATGTACATTTCAAAGAAGTCATCCATCTAGTAAAATATTTAGGATCTATAAATAAATTATACTCTTTGTGCAGAGGAATAAAATATTACATAATTCACTGATGTAATTTTTAAGTTCTAGCATTCAGGAATTGAAGTTCTGTTAATTATGGCAGGCGGGGCTTATTTCCTTATTGGCACTTAGGTACATCCTGGCAAGAGTCCAAGAGTCCAGAAATAAAAGAAAAAACGTAAAAGCTTCCGGGGGGTGAGGGGGGAGGGATTATTAGAAATGGTTTTATATGACAATGTCAGTTACCTTCTCTAAAAACTCAGTTCTTTAATACTTACCCTATCACATGAAACATTAACTTCATGTTTTATAGTGAATATACAGTAAAACACAATTTATTTAGATTGAGCATGGACACAAAATATGAGGAATGTGTGTGTGTGTGTGCGTGTGCATGTGTGCTTGTTACTAAAATGAATCCCAACCACCAAAGACCAATGCTTTATTTTATAATAACATTTAATCCATCGAAATTTTATACAAAATTTGGTCAGAGAGCATTTGAGCTCTTGTTGCAAATAGTAAACATACAAAAGAAATTAAGCATAAGAATATTCAAGCAAAGACATAACACCACTAACAACCATTTTTAAAATCAAGAAAGTACTACCAAACACAATCATATTACTGCTTTACATATGTACATTTTTCATATTTCTTATAAAGATTTCTTACATACATTATGGTTTTATTGGCTTCAGTTTTACAATCTTTGGGTCTGAAGATGTAGTAGCTGCATTTAAAAAAATTGATATAATTAGAAAGTATTGGCTTCTTTGTAACTCTACCTTCATGGGAGGAAAATACATGGATATACGTGGAATATTCACCCTGCACCTACCCACTGGCAAGTGTAGTCCGGGAGTGCTGAATAGGATCTATCTGACAATCTGTTTTATGAGTTATGTTCCTTCAACCAAACAACCAGTGACTATCAAGAGACAGCACCAGATTATGTTAAGACATATATATATATATATATATATATATACACTGGACATTTGAGGCTCAGGATCTTCCCTTCTGGTCCTTATTCTCATTGGATGCTTTTTATTTATTTAAACTTGATTCTAGATAATGGGAAAGGAAGCTGCGGCAGAGGAATGGTATTTAGACTTCAGGTTCCAGCTCGTCTTGACCGCCATGTTCATGGAAACGATTGTCATGTTCTTGCCACCTAGGGACCTTAAAAGAAAACAAGATTAGAGCACTTTATAGTTTCTTTCAGTTGGGCTTATCAGAGATTAGTATTGAAACAAAGGTATTTTCTGTAATCATTATCCAAGCTTTGAAAGAACTGAGAATAAAAATTGTTAGCGTTGGGGAAAAAAATAAAAGAACAAAAATATTTACCCCACCCACCCTGACTGCATTCTCCTTTTCCCAAGCCTGTTCTCCCTGAAAATCTCGTTGAACGTACCCTAACATCTATCACTCTTAAAGCTTTGTAGGAAATACTTTGGGAGAAAATGTCAATGGATTGAAGAGATAGAAACTGGAGGATAGAAAAAGGCTGATGTTTTGTTATTCACAGTACCTCTTGTGTTCTTACTGAGATCCTTCAACCTTCCATGCTACACCAGACCTTATGGTATAAAATCTCACTCCACTGTCCAGGAGCCCTATTCTTTTTATAAGTAGATTTTTTTTTTTTAACTCTCAGAGGAGCAAAAGGGCATTTGTTTCAGTCCTTTCTTCATCTAGTGTCTGCTTTGGAAAATACCATAACTTATGATGTGGACATGTCTTATTTTCTCTATATAAATAGGGAACTCATCCAATTTCATCTCATGGATGCCACACATACATCTAGGCTTCAGGTGAGCAAAACTTTCACTAGTAGAGTCATCATGTACATCCTTATTTAGAACACTGTATAGTACCTCCCAATAAACAGAATCATCATAGCAGTTCTGGTCAGATGGCTGTCCCCAGATAGGTAGCTTTAGAATTAAACCTGTGAAGGTGGGGAGAAAATAAATCATGTTATGATGCTGAAGAGGAAAACCTACTTGGGTAATAATTAAGTACTTTAAAGTAATTACTATTATAAAATCATCCCCTTGAACTTACGGGATTGCTGTCAGAAATTTAGAACATTTTCAAATTTACCAATCAATATGTTTATTAATAATCTATCCTGCTGAGAGCATGAGGTAAAGGGAAATGTTTACTCTTATGCTGACCTGTGATCAGCCCTCCACCAATTGCTGTTCCAATGGAAGAACCTAGGGCGGCTGTTTGCATGACTGAAGTAGACCTAGGAAGCCAAAAGAAAAGAATCTTGTTTTCTAAGGCACCCACAAACAGTTCTCATCTCACGAGGGCATGGGTGCCTGCCATCTTCAGACAAGAATGCAGCATTACACACCAGTAAACAAACATTTCTTACACCTTTTCTTTTATATCAATATTTATTTTCTTTGAAACTCTTAAACAACGTAAAAAAAATTCTTATAAGCACTTAAGCTTAGCACCACCCTTTTCTTCAGAATGATAAAAAGATCTTCCTTAGAAAAGGTTTAGTGTTTTCTAAACATGTGGTACCAGGTTTTGATCTGTGATCTGAATCATTCAACAAGTATTTATTGAGTACCTGCTCCATGCCAGCTTTTTTTTCTAGGTACTGAGGACAGAGTCACGTACAATAAAAACCTCTATGAGCCTCTATGTATTCTCACCTCATTTCAAAAGAAATTATTGTAGTAAAATTCAAAAATCAGTATGTAAGAAAAGCTCATTTTAGCATATACTATAGAGACAATTCATTGAAAGTATTAAAGTATACCTCTACATGTCATCTTAGAAGTAGTTACCTTAAAATGAGATGAGTAAAAAAATACCTCATAAGTTTGGGAATGGAAGAATGTAATAACAAGCTATTGAAATGCATAAGGGTGTTACCTGAGTAACAAATGCACTAGGAATGTAGGAGTCTCCTGACGTAGTGCAGTGCCTGACTCTTACCAAGCAATTAATTAACAGTTGGTGAAAGATTGAATGAGTGACTGAAGGAAAGCAAACAATTGGAAAATGAGGGAAGGATCCATCTTTTAAGGGAAGGAATGCACTAAACTCAGATTTCTTTTTTCCTCTTTATTTGAAGGGTTTAATTTTTTTTACTATATAAAATATTGTAGAAGTAACACATGATCCTTGTAAAAATATTACAAACCACTAATTAAGAAAAAAAGGGAAAAAGTATAATTTCCCTCAAATCCCATCAGTATAAAAACGTAAAATATAAAACATGCATTTTTATAAAAGTGCAAACATGTTATAATACTGATGTTCCCATTAAATCTTAATGTCCTTTAATGTCAGTAAATGGAGATCTAGATTGTAATTTTTATTGCTACAGAGTATGACGTTGNGGTAGCTATTGTTCAATGAACACTCACCAAAATAAAGCCAGGATAAAAGCTAAGGTCAATAGTTGGAAAGACTGGATTTTGTACCCCCCAAAAGGACAGAACCTAGGTCTACAGGGTGGACAGGGATAGAAGTAGGCGATTTTAAGAAATAAAGCAGAGTGGCGAGATGTGATAGTTCACGGGTTTGTTTTCAACTTTTTCTCACTTGCTACTACTCCTCAACTGACCTATCCCACCAACCCACATACACTTAAACACACACACAACTTTTATCTTCAAAAAGAAGAAAGAGTTAATTGAACAGACTTCCAATCTTTCATTTCAGGAGCAAAGTGGCCTCCAGGGAAAAGAGCATCAGCTTTATTTTTGTAGAGTTCAGTCTTAACTCAGTCTCTGCCTAGCTGTATGCTTTCTTACATAATTCTTTTTCTTCTGGCAAGCTTTCCTTGAATGGCTGAATTTTATTTAGATTCTCCTCTCCTTTTATCTATAGCAGTCTGTGTATGTTACCATTCTAGCATTCATCAACTTTAGCCTATCTCTGATCCACTACCTATATTTCTGGCTGAGCTGTAAAAATATACAGATATATTTGAGGTAAAAGATTTTGTGTTATATAACTTTGTATTTACAGATATAGTAATAGTATATACAGATATAGATATAGTATATAGCAGGTATATAATAAAGTATTACTGAGTAAACAAGTAATTAAATAAGTAAGAAAAATTCTTTTGCTTCTTTGAGACTGATAATCTTTGTTTGTTCATTCAATTATTTATCCACTCATCCATTGAACAAAAGCTCTTAGGCATACGTGAGGGTTACAAAGAAAAAAAAATGAGAAGTATCAGCTCTTAAGAAGTTTACTTTTTCATATTTAAAATGAAAATGTAACATTATCAAGTTGTAAAGTACATGGAATGACATCTTTATACCTTGTTTAAGTTGGGGAGATGAGAGCTTGAGTGTGTCCCCCCCGGCCTCATTCCACAACTCTAATTAAATTATAGGACCTGTCTTGGGCCTGGGGGGTGTAAGACCTTTAGCTTCTGGGAGAAAAAAAAAAGCCTTGTAGAGAATTTTCCGCCTCTGTATTGGAGGAGAGTTTGGAGGCAGTTGGTAGAGACCCATGGGGTAAGGATCTGGGTGCTGCTGGTTTGCAGGGATATGTGAATTCCCAGGGAATGGTGATGAATCTTCTCGATCAAGTGCTCCTCAGTGATAGTGGGTCCCCCTGTTCTCCCAGGAACTTTGAGAGGACTGAGCAGACAGACACATTGAGTTCCTCCTGGCTCTGACTCTAGAAGACTTCGTTCAGGTGCCAGTCTAGGGAAATTATATCTTGGCAGCTGGCAAATCTCTGACCCATACTATCAGATTGCTGTGCCTCCCTTTATTCTCAAGATTGTTCCCACCTAAAATACCTCAGCAGCTGGATCCTAACACCCCTTCACCACCATCACCAGTAAATAGATGAAATAAGTTCACAACCCACAGTTAAGTTCCAGCACCCACAATGGCTTCTAACGAAATGGAGTTATTGACAAAGCCCTCTCCTAGATCAGTGGAAACCTCTCATCTTATGCAATAAATAGTTAAAGACCATGGAAAGGAGGGCTGGGGAAGCCCGAAAATATCTCATTTCAGGAAGCTGTCTAAAATTGCAGTTAATAATTATTATAGGCCATTCTTTCTGATTTAAACAAGAACAAAAAAATAACAAAAACTTCCTGAAACTGATTATCTAAGTAGATCTTTAAAATTAGCTAACTAAGGGCTGGCCGAGTGGCTCAGTTGGTTAAGAGCTCGCTCAAGAGTGTGAGCTCTGAGCAACAGCAGTTTGGTGCCTGTCCGGAGCTGAGCTGCTGCTGAGCTGCCAAAAGGTGGCAGGATGGCTCAGCTTAAAATAAATAAATAAATAAATAAATAAATAAAATAATATAAAATTAGCTAACTAATAGAAAAAGTATTATTTGACGTTATAAATGTTTTTTGGAAGAGGTAAGGTATAAATGTTATTTACATGTTGCCACAGCTGGGTTAGACTTTGATCTTGAACAAAAAGAGAGCCCTGCTCCTCAACAGGCAAAATCATAAAAATAATTAAGGAGATTCAAGCATAACACACATGCACACACAGAGACAAAAAACAAAACTTTGCTGGGCCTATAAAAATGGACCATAATTTGCAAATGACAAATCAATAAACGAATAAGAGAAACAGAATCTCTGTGAAAACAAATGAAATAAAGATAAGAAAGATAATAGATTTGGATAACAGACCCACTCAACTTTCTATGTGATTAACAGGGGTGCTAAAAGAAGAAAAATGAAGAGATGAAAAAGAGGAAATTGTTAAACAGTAGAGGAAAGTTTATCTGAGCAGAAGCAGACTCTAATCTTCAGATTAAAATGCTACACTGAATTCTAAGCAAGATCAATT